GTGATCAATGACTCCCCACCTATGGATCAAGGGGTCCATATACTTTCTATAGAACCAGGATTCAGCAAACCCCCAGGCCTTCTGTCCCCTGGAAGATAAGTGTCGGGGGACAGAGCTCAAACCCCCTGATTGCCTGCGGCTCTGTGTGTGACAGGGGGAGGGGCCACAACCTCCCTATCCACCCTACTCTGTTCGTGACAGGGGAAGATGCCCCAACCCCCTGATCGGCCCTGCTCTGTGCCTGATATGGGGGAGCTCCCCAACCCCCTTATTGGCCCTGCTCTGTGTGTGACAGGGTGCGGCGCCCCAACCCCCCCATGGGCCCTGCTCTGAGTGTGACAGGGTGGAGTGCCCCAACCCCCTGATCGGCCCTGCTCTGTGTGTGACAGGGGGAGGTGCCCCAACTCCCCTATCGGCCCTGCCCTGAGTGTGACAGGGGACGGCGCCCCAAACCCCTGATCAGCCATGCTCTGTGGGTTACAGGCGGCGGCGCCCCAACCCCATGATTGGCCCGGCTCTGTGCATGACAGGGGGTGGCTCGGCAACCTCCCCATCGACCCTGCCTTGAGTGTGACGGGGGCGGCGTCCCAAACCCCCAATCAGCTCTGCTCTGAGCCAGACCAGGGCTGTACCTAGGGATTGGGCCTGCCCTCTGCCACCCGTAAGCAGGCCTAAGACAGCGTGTTGTTATCTCCCGAGGGGTCCCAGACTGTGAGAGAACACAAGTGGGGCTGAGGGACACCCCCCCCCCCCAGCCAGTGCACAAATTTTTGGGCACCAGGCCTCTAGTGTTTAATATTTTTAAATTGTAGGCCCAAAAATCAGTATAGTGTTAACTTGCTTTGTTTTAAATCCATTTCCATAAGAAATTTTCATGGTGAGCATTTCTTTATACATTTATTTCTGCTGTCTTTATCTCTTTTGTTGAAAGTTTTGGTCAGAAACTTTTGCAATTTTTAAAATGAAATTAGGATTTAATCAATAGGAGGACAGTTCAGCAGCTAAGACATATGTATTCACTTCACTCATTCCTTAAAGACCCAATTGGTTTATTTGCCATTGTGAACTATATGTTTTGAATACTGAAAGCAAAACAGTTTTTCTCAAATTTTATCTTATGCACAATTTAATGCTCACTTGCAAGATACACTTTTAAGTTTAATCTATGTTGCTAACATTCTCCACCATTCATTTTAAGTTAAAGTATTCAATAGTACATTAATGAAGTTAAGTTTTATACTATTTGTCAATTTTCTTGGTGTAAAATACTCTCATCATGATCAGTTTCAAACTGACAAAATGATGGCACTGAACATGGGCCTGATAAGATATTTCAGTAGCAAATCATTACATATTATTTCCAACATGCTGATGCAGTAGGTACAAATATACTCATGAACATGCATGATAATATAGTAAAATAATAGAAAGTGGCAAGTTTTAAACATTTTAAACTTTGATGTAAGTATAAGTGATTTAAAGCATACATTCAAATTATTTTTATGGATTTCAGAGAGGAAGGGAGAGGGGGAGAGAGAGAGAGAAATATCATGATAAGAAAGAATTGCTGTTAGATTGCTTCCTGCATGCACCACAATATGAATCCAGCTCACCACCTGAACATTTGTCCTGACCAAAAATTGGTCAGTGACCTGCGGGGTCATGGTTTAACAGTGAACCACTGAACCACACCAGCTGGGCTCTTCTAAGACTTTCAGGGATCCCACTCAAGCTGTAACCAGGGTAGCAATGAGCAGTGGCAGCTCATCGTAGGCTAATCCCCTGAGTCTGCTCTTAAGACCTTCTTTACTCTGAATGCCCAGTGAGCTAACAGCAGCCTCACTTTGGCTCATTTATTTCCCACAATGTTTCTAGAGAGGCAAAGGAGCCACGCCTGGTCTCTGTGCTGTTGCTTGTTCTATCAGAAGGCCTACATTTTTTCATTATTCCCAGCTTCAATTAAGGTACCGTCAAAATCTTCTGAACTCGTGTTGTGAAATCTTTTCTAACATGAAGTAATGAACTCAAACTCTACAGACCAAGCTGAGGCAGACCCGCTCTAGGCTCCTTCCTGTTGGTGAACACAGCTATGCCTGGGACATACTCTATAAAGAGAGACCAAGGCATGATTTTTTTTTGAGAACATGAAAGAAATGTGATAGCCCTCATTCACTTTGGTGTTGTTGACTCAAATCAATCTTAACTCTATTCCTTTTTTTAATTGATTTTTTAGAGAGAGAGGGAGATGTAGAAAAATCAATGATGAGAGAGAATCATTGATCAGTTGTCTCCTGCATGCCCCCTACAGGGATGGAGCTCCTGAACCTAGGCGAGTGCCCTGACCTGGAATCCAGCCAGAGATAACTTGATTCATGGGTCCACACCCAGCCACTGAGCCATGCCATATGTGCAAACTATCTTTTCTATTATAGACTCTATTAAAAATAGTCCCAGTTTCCTCCATCCTCAATCCCCTTTGCTTCCCTTTCTCCTGACCACACCATTTCTAGGCCCTCACCCCATTATTGTCTATGTCCATGGACTATGCATATATGTATATACTTGTAAAAATATATTTTTATTGATTTTGGAGAGAGGAAGAAAGGGGGAGAGATAAATACATCAATGATGAGAGAGAATTACTGATTTGCTGCCTCCTGCACGTCCTCACCCCCACCCAATTCAGAATTGAACCTACAACCCATGTATGTTCTCTGACCAGGAATAGTACCAGGACCTCATGGATCATAGGTCAATGCTCAACCATTGAGCCACATCAGCTGGGCTATATTATTTAAAATTAAAAAAAATGTATTTAATTTTTTTATCGTTGATAGTATTACAGATGTCTCCCATTTTCCCCTGTGCATATATTCCTTGGGGGATCTCTCCCAGTCCTCCCCACAACCCTCTCCTGGGAGATCTGCCAGTCTGTTTTAGTTAACCAGGCCTCTGGTCCCATCTTTATCTTTCCCCAGGTCCTCTTGCTGATTACATCACCTCTATTCACCAATGTCATTGGCTGGGAACCTAGTCATCCTGTCCTTTGAGAAAACTACATTACCCAGAAAGGAACGCCTGACGTGGGCGGAGCTAAAGGGCACTTTTGTTGTCAGGACATCCTGTTAGGGCGGGGCTTCCGCCTTCCTCCTCCTGGCGGGCATTTTAACCTCTTCACTTTCTTCAAAGCTTCACAGGCCTCAGCGCACTGGTCGTGAGTAGCAGGAGGCCTAGGAGGCAGCGTCCTTGCTGTGCGGGGTGTGTCTGACGCTGGTTGGGCACCAACAGGCCGGGATTGGGGCCTCCGTGCCTCCCGGACTCCTCTCTGCCCACAGCGTTCCCGCAGCCTGACCCCGTTTAACCCCCCAGCCTTGGGGACCCGCCTCTCAGGTCCCGCCGCCCAGGAAGCCGCATCCAGAACAGTGAGTCTCTCCTGGGTGACACAGGGTGTGATGGGGGATGAGGGCCACGGGCTGCAGTGCCACCTTCTAAGGACACGGTGGTGGGGCTGAGGCAGGAGGATTAGGAAAACCCGGGTCTGTTGTGGATCTAAAGGCAACAGAGAGATGAGGTGAGGTTTTGCACAAGCAGTTTTACTTTCATTTTCAGAACGCTGGGGCCATAGATGGTTGTGAAAAGAAGAGGGACATTGTCCGAGGCAGGATTCTAACTTTTCCTAACATTGCTCAGAGGAAGGACAGACTAGAAGACAGAGGACAGCAGCTGTGGACAGGAAGGGGAAGTCCTGTAAATGATAAGGGAACTGGCAAGAGTGAGCCCTGAGGACTGAGCCCTGAGATAACACAGGCATCTGGAGGGCACCTGGCCTCTGGGCTGGGCAAGGGTATTGAGCAGTCTGAGCCCATAGATCCTGGTGGTTGCCAGGCTCTCAACAGACCATTTTCTTTCCACAAATTCCGGCAAATACAGAATGAATTAGGTGTACCGGTTCATGAATATTATTTCAGGGCCTCACACTCTTGTGGCCTCTGCGAGAGTGTTGTCCTGAGAAGGAAGCTGTGTGAGAGAAGTGTTGTTTAAAGAACTCTGTGCAACAGCAGTGCAAAGCTATGGTCTCAGCACCTTGCGATTGGGGTCAAGAGGGCGAAGTGTGATGCCATGTATTTGGTGTCTTTGAGAAACAATCTGAGGGTGTTGCCTGACAAGACCAGTATCCAGTCACTCACACTATTGTTATGGCCAGCATCTCTCTTTAACCTATGGTTTGACACACTCTGTTGATAAAATTCAGTGTAGCCTGCATGGAAGGTCCAGAGCTCAGGTATCTTTTATCTGCTCACATGCCTTTAATATGGTGGGAAGACAAAATGTCAGTAGGAATATAAGAAGACAGTGGCTTTCATGGGATGAAGGCCTGGTATTTTCTCTGATGTGAGGAGTAGACAGAGCAGATGGATGTGGAGGGTCGGGAGCATGACAGACTTACAGTCATAGGAGTGAATCTGATCTTGGGCTGTACTTTCCCCATTATGACAGGATATGAACTATGAGGACGTGGCCATTGTCTTCTCTCAGGAGGAATGGGAGCTCCTTGATGAGGCTCAGAGACTTCTGTACTGCGATGTGATGCTGGAAGTGTTTGCACTTGTGTCATCTGTAGGTAAGACCTTGATGTTCTCCCAAGTGTTTTAAGGTGATGCCCTCTCTTCCTTTATTCCTCAGGCATAGCTTTCTCTCTCCCACAGCAAGAATATGGTTTCTGCTAAATTTCCCTACTGTCTTGTCAAATGTGCTGTGGCTGCCAGGGATGAGCTGGATGGAGAGTCCTGAGCAAAGGACTCCACGAACATCTCGCTAACCCCTGTTACCTCAAAAAGTATAGGAAACAGAAGGTCAGGAATCTTCCAGTGAGCTTAATGGGGCCCAGCTTGCACTTTCTCTTCATGGGAGGCTGACAGTGCCCACATGCATGGCTTCAACTTCTACCTTCTTTCTCTAGGTGACCTGTGCCATGTTATGGTCTTTACTTAAAAGGACCATAGGCTGTTCTTGTGAGACCTGCAATCAATTGTTTGTTATATTCTCTTCCCTGAATACTAGAGCAAGCTGTGTTGCTCTGGCCCAGTGCTGACTGCTCACCTCTTCATCACCTGTTCCTCTGCATTGGTGCCTCTGCAGTATTCTGCAACATTGACTTGCATATGTGTTATGAGGTACACATACGTGCTAATTAGTCCTTGAAACCAGCTATGCCTTTATTGAATTTTACTTGGAGTAAGAACTGACCAATTCTTGTACAGCTTGTTCCTGTCCCCAGCAGACAAGCCGTGCTGAATGCTGTTAGTAGAAGTATTAGTTGGAAATCCATATCCTCATCCATGTGGTGCTTCCCATGTTTGTGTCTTTTTTCTGGTGAGGCCTCCCTATTTTGTGATCTTCATTAGCCCAGGAAGTCTCAAGAGCCTCTTATCAATCCTTCCTACACATCTCTTATTTTCAGACAATTCAGTAGAAACAACTTGTGATCTGTAATACACTTTGGTAATGGGACTTTCCCCTGTCACCACATTCAACATTCATTTTTTTACCCTTTCTCACTTTTCAGGTTGTTGGCATAAAATCGATGGTGATGAGGCCTGTTCTGCTCAGAGTGTATCTATAAAAGGAGAGTCGCAGGTCAGGGCTTCTAAGACAGCTCCAGCCACCCAGAAGATCCCTCTGTGTAAGCAGTGTTTCTCTGTGTTAAAAGGTATTTTGCACCTGAGTGGGTCACATGCAGCAGACTTTGAGCAGAAAGCCTTCTGTAGTGATGCATGTGTTGGAGACTCCTGTTCCTGTGCAAACCCTCATGAGCAACAGAGGAATGGATGTGGAGAGGAGCCCTGGAAACAAGGTATGGACAGGGCCTCCTCAGTGAGTAGGTCCAATTTCTTATCGTTGGTGCCTTCCATCAGCAGGAAGGTTGGGAAAGACTTGCTGTACAACTCAGAGCTACTCCGGCACCAGGCCACTCTCAACACTGAGCAGTGAGTGACAGGGGAAAGTCCCAATACTGTGGCAGTGAGATTTCACAGCAATTTCTTCATGGAAATAGTCACCACCAGTGGGGTGAATGTGAAAATGCTGCTAAACACAACCTGAAAGTTGTTCAACATCAGGGTGTATTTTCTGGAGAACTGATTTATGAGTGTAACAAATGTAGGAAAGTGTTTAGACAAAACTTGAATGTCATTCGACATAGGAGAGTTCACACTGGAGAAAAGCAGTATGAATGTAGTGAATGTGGGAAGTTCTTCAGAGAAAGACGTGCACTCATTAGACACCAGAGAGTTCACACTGCAGAGAAGCCATATGAGTGTATGGAACGTGGGAAGTCTTTTAGCCAAAAATCCAACTTTACAAAGCACCTGAGAGTTCACAGTGGCAACAAGCGATATGAATGCTCTGATTGTGGAAAGTCCTTCAATGGTAACTCTACCCTCAAAGTACACCAGAGAGTTCACACTGGAGAAAAGCCCTATAAGTGTACAGAATGTGGGGTGTCATTTTGTGTAAGGTCTCACCTCACTAGACATCTCAGAGTTCACACTGGAGAGAAGCCATATGAATGTACGGAATGTGGGAAGTTTTTTAGCCAAAAATCCAACTTTACAAAGCACCTGAGAGTTCACAGTAATGACAAGCCATATGAGTGCTCTGATTGTGGGAAGTCCTTCAATGATAAGTTTTATTTCAAAGTACACCAGAGAGTTCACACTGGAGAAAAGCCCTATAAGTGTACAGAATGTGGGGTGTCATTTCGTGCAAGGTCTAACCTCACTAGACATCTCAAAGTTCACACTGGAGAGAAGCCATATGAATGTACTGAATGTGGGAAGTCTTTTAGCCAAAAATCTTGCCTTATTAGGCACCTGAGAGTTCGCAGTGATGACAAGGCATATGAGTGCTGTGATTGTGGGAAGTCCTTCAATGATAAGTCTTATCTCAAAGTACACCAGAGAGTTCACACTGGAGAAAAGCCCTATAAGTGGACAGAATGTGGGGTGTCATTTCGTGTAAGGTCTACCCTCACTAGACATCTCAGAGTTCACACTGGAAAGAAGCCATATGAATGTACTGAATGTGGGAAGTCGTTTATCCAAAAAGTTTACCTTATTAGACACCTGAGAGTTCACAGTGACGACAAGCCATATTAGTGCTGTGATTGTGGAAAGTCCTTCAGTGATAAGTCTGTCCTCAAAGAACACCAGAGAAGTTCACACTGGAGAAAAGCCCTAACGATACAGAGCAGAGGATCTCAAACTACAGCCCGTGGGCCACATGCAGCCCGCTGAAAACATTTATCCGGCCCGCCGGGTGTTTTGCCGCCGCTGCCTGTCCTGTTTAGCAGCTGACTCGTCCCGGGCCCACAGTGCACGTGTGTGGAATGTCTGAGGGACAGTGAACGGGCCCCCTGTTTAAAAAGTTTGAGGACCCCTGATATAGAGAATGTGGGATGTCCTTTCCTTGAAGGGCTCAGCACACTAGCCACCACAGAGTTCACACTGGAGAGAAGTGTTAAATGTGCAGGGAATGTTTTCTTTTTCTCACTTAGTATAACAACACTGAAGGTGACTCTTTGGGACCTATGTTTCTGAATTTAAATGCCTTTTAATGGAACATGCACTCTGATGTATTCCTCATCAGTTTCAGGCACAAGTGAGGCTTGAAGGAGCTGCATTGTACTTGCTAACATGCCCAGACCTGCTAACTGATTGATGTCACAGCGAGCATGTGTGGCTGAAGATATTTCACCTCTACCACCTGGCTCACCTGAAGAGTGTGCATCAGTCACAACCCCTGTGTGCTCAGGGGAAATGGATTCTGTGTTCTCACTTGTGCTTGAGAACATTATGATTACTTCAAGCTCTTGACAGGATCTTCCTTCCTTTCTGACTAGGGAATGCATCTGACCCAGGGTTTGTTCAGAGCACACATCCTCAGCTAAGGAGTGCTGCCACTTTCAGGGACATTGTGATTCTCACATTATGCTTTTATGAATTGTTTTACTTTCTAATTCACCAACCTGCAAATTGCTTACTGCCCTCTGTTCTGGTTTATGATCTTTAGTAAACATGTTTTTTCTTTCGTAGCTTTTTTTTTTTTTTTAAATCTCACTGTCTGGATGATTTGATACAAAAGTTGTGATCTATCATCATGGCGAGATGAACAGATATGGTGGGGTCCCAAACTGTCTGTGCTTTGGAAAGCTATAATAATGTGAGAGAAATCAGTCTTTGTCCAATAATAGCTTATTTTATACCACTGACCAAGGCAATGAAAGAAAGTTTGCATAACTTTGTGGTTCCAATTTGCAGCCTGGTGCCTCTAATGTTGGTGAGGTCAGTGGTCCCCCAGAAGAGGAGTCCTTTTTTGTGCTTCTATCATTGTTCTCACATTATCCTCTGATGGGTCATTTTATGTTCCAATTCACCAAATTACAAACTGCTTGCCATCCTCTGTTCTGGTTTATGATCTTTTAGTAAAGGTGTTTTTTGCTTTTGTACCTTTAATTTTGTGGATTATATTCACTGCCTGGGATCATTTGAAAGGATAGTTGTGATCTGTCAAACGCAGGGGGGAACAGATAGGGTGGGGTCCCAAACTTTCTGCACTTTGGAAGGCACATAATAATGGCAAAAAATCACTCTTTGTCCAATATTGGTTTATTTTGTATTGCTAACCAAGTCCTTCAACAAAAATCTGCATGACTTTTTGGTTCTAATTTTTTAGCCTTGTGCCAGTATTATTGGTGAGGTCAGTGATCACCTGGAAGAAGAGTCCTTTGTTGTGCTCCTGTGAACAATATAAATTATATTCTCTGTTCATAGTATGTCTTACATACTGCAAAGGAGCCCTGAGCCATGATGTGTGAAATATCATAGGCTGGTTTTATTGGTTGTAACACTGTGAAGTGCAACTAATATTGGGACAGACACTGTTTTCATAGTGAGTGGAAGAGACATCAGTATATTTGATGAAAATTGCCTCTTCTGAACATTATCCATAAATGACCCAGTCCTGAAGCTTGTTTGTTCTTTTTGTAGCTGAAGTGATTGGTTGTGAAAAGAATCTCATGGTTTTGGTGATTCCCTCGGCCCCACTATGGTGTTCACCTCAAGGTTATCACAAGAGGAAAAATTCAAAGCTAAAGGAAGGATAATCTTATAATTAGTCCCAGGTTGTGTGTTTTGTGACAGTTCAGCATTCCTGATCAATCTGATGGCAGTAGCCTTTACTTCTGGACAGTATTTGCTGCCACAGAGGCAACAATGATTCTCTCAGGAAATGAGGAGAGAGATGGTGATGTGTATATAGTGTTGCCATCTTAATTTTCTAAGAATAGAGGGATAGCTATGTTTTTATTTGGAACCACAATTAAGGCTTTACCTACTAGGTGTACTAATTAATAATGGTGGATTTTGTAATCAAAGAAAATACGAAAATTTCAAGAGAAATATCAAAAGTGTATGAATTTCATCAGCCTTTAGTTTTATATATTTTAAAATGTATTTTTTAATTAAATCTTTATTGTTCAGATTACATTTGTTCCTCTTTTTTTATCCCCCCATAACTACCCTCTTCCCAGTTTCCGCCCCACCCTCCGCCCTCACTCCCCACCCACTGTCCTCATCCATAGGTGCACGATTTTTGTCCAGTCTCTTCCCGCATCTCCCTCTCCCCTTCCCCCCCAAGAATAGTCAGTCCATTCCCTTTCTATGTCCCTGATTCATTATAATCACCAGTTCATTCTGTACATCAAATTATTTATTCACTTGATTCTTAGATTCACTTGTTGATAGATGCATGTTTGTTGTTCATAATTTGTATCTTTACCTTTCTTTTCTTCCTCTTCTTAAAGGATACCTTTCAGCATTTCGTCTAATACTGGTTTAGTGGTGATGATCTCCTTTAGCTTTTCCTTGTCTGTGAAACTCTTTATCTGACCTTCAATTCTGAATGATAGCTTTGCTGGATAAAGTAATCTTGGTTGTAGGTTCTTCATATTTATCACTTTGAATATTTTTGCCACTCCCTTCTGGCCTGCAAAGTTTCTGTTGAGAAATCAGCTGACAGTCGTATGGGTATTCCCTTATAGGTAATTGAGTCTCTTTCTCTTGCTGCTTTTAAGATTCTCTCTTTGTCTTTTGCTCTTGGCATTTTAATTATGATGTATCTTGGTGTCGTCCTCTTTGGATTCCTTTTGTTTGGGGTTCTCTGCGCTCCTTGACCTGTAAGTCCATTTCTTTCACCAGGTGGGGGAAGTTTTCTGTCATTATTTCTTCAAATAGGTTTTCAATATCTTGCTGTCTCTCATCTTCTGGCACCCCTATAATTCTGATGTTTGTACGCTTGAAGCTGTCCCAGAGGCTCCTTACACTATCTTCGTATTTTCGTATTCTTTTTTCATTTTGCTTTTCCGGTTGGGTGTTTCTTGCTTCTTTGCATTTCAAATCTTTGACTTGATTCTTGCGCTCCTCTGGTCTGCTATTGGGTGTCTGTATAATATTCTTTATTTCAGTCAGTGTATGCTTAATTTCTAGTTGATACTTTATCACAGCATCGAGGGTCTCATTAGATTTCGTGAAGCTCTAATCAAGTTTATTGGCAGCTTCTAGCACATTATTGAAAGCCCTCAAAATTGCTGTTTTTAGTTCTATATCATCCATTTCTGTAATGTTCTTTTGTCTCCGCATATTTTATGCTTTCTTGGTGCACCCCCCTAGTGGTCTTTGTGTGCTGTCTTGTTCTAGTTAAGCCTTGATTGTTGTAGTTAATACTAGAGGGATTTGACCACCAGGCCGACTGGCTGTGAGAATCACCTGTGTCTGCCGTGGGAAAACTTCTTAACTCTGGGGAGGTGCTAATCTAGCCTTTACCTGAGGCTATCTGGCAAATGGCTCTGCGCAGGGCTTGGGCGGGGCGGTTCGCAGGGGATCAACAGGGCGGGCGGAGGGAGCAGTTATGGCCGCTCTCAGTTCCGTTCCCAGAGGCTCTTCTTCTCAGAACCCCAGCAACTGCT